TTGAGTAACAAATTTAGTTTTTATCAATTTATCTTAATGATTCTGCAGTATTTAACAAAAAATATTTGAATAAAATAAAAATAAAAATTGAAGACCATGCATGTTCCAGTAATACAAAGATGTCAACGTTACATGTTACCATTTAATTACATTTTGTAAGGAATAAATCAATCTTTGTTTAATAAAATTCATCTCTAACAGTCTATATATACGAGTTGGAGTTTCCTAAATGGCTTCAAGTAAGGTTTCCAATACAAAGAGCATTTGAAGAAATAACATAGCTTCTCGTATATATTTGTTATGGTTCTGATAATGTTGTTTGAGCACATCGGCTACTGACATCGTTAATAGGTTCTGTAACAGAGTAGTCTACGTCCTAGGCTCACAACCGAAGAACCCATGATTTAGGTCGGAGATTCAGCACCGCTCCTGTGCCAGATAAGTCCACAACGGGCTCACCATACCCCGTGCTACTTGCCCAGCTCCTGTGCCAGGTAAGTTACGGGCTCACCATAGCCCGTGCTACTTGGAACTTGCTCCGAGTAGCTGAATCTATAACAACGAAGAAGAACCCGGTTTCAATTCCCCAGGGAGGACAGCAGTAAAAGGTGTTCACGCAACTTGCTTTGTCATAAAGGTGTGAACGCGGTATTAGGTGAAAGGAATTTTACCTAATACCGTTGGTCACCGGACAGTACAATAGGCTCCCGGGAGTTAGGCAACTGTTGTGGGGGTTGCATCCTGGGGAAGATCAGCAGTTGACGAAGAAGAACCTCCAAAAGCCTAAGTATAAACTTCCTGTCGCCGATAATGGGAATGGATAATGATAATAAATTTTGTTGGGGGGACAGGCAGCCATTGTATATATACATGTTAAGCTTATATCGAGGTATCCTAAAGTCGAACTATTGACCTTCCACAGGATGCAAAGCCCACAACAGTTGCCTATCTTCCGGGTACCTATTTACTGCTAGGGAAAAACAGACATTAGGTAATAGGAAATGTGCCAAACCATTTCTAGAGTTCCGATTGAGAGCTGAGAATCCAATGACGAGTAATAGACCAACAGTACAAAGGTTCGTGGGGAAAATGTGTTATTGAAGTTCTTGAAGGAATTAGGCGACAAATTGATCAGTGTTACAAAAGACCCGAGAGCGAAAAGCTTCTTGTTCCAGCGCCTCAGTGTCGCGATTCAGAGGGGGAAATGCCTGTTGCATCTTGGGCACGAGTCCAACTTCGGAGGAATTCGAAGAGGTGTTTGACCTACAACAATGATCGAATCTTTCTGACATTTATTAAGGTATCCCGTTGGTGGGTTTTTCATTTGACTTGCGTATGTGTCAAGGCCACATTTTGTAATCATGTAATCTTGTACAATAGTTCCCTATTTATAACTATATATATATATATATATATATAATATATATATATATATATATATATATATATATATATATATATACATACATACATACATTAGAGACATGATACAGTGAAGTAGTCGTAGGTTAACAATGCACATTATATAGTCATTAATGTTTCCTCAATTTGGTTAATTCTCAGGCTTCTTGTCCCCAACTATGGGAACCTAATGTATAAATAAATAAGTTATCATTGCTAATATTCAGCGAAATCCATTTTCTTTAAAAAACCAGCAAAGAAAATTGAAATATTAAGGAGAGACTTTAGGAAGAAATATTATCCTTGTATGACGAGCTGTATTGTCTAGTATCTTGCATAGTCTATTACATATATTTGTAATTTGGATAAATATTGTGTATGTAATTATGTAGGGTGTTAAAAGTACAATTTCACGTTCACAGATCAGTGTGTAGATAGTTCCTAAGAAACCAAGACTAAGAGGTTAGCTTAGTTTTAAGCTGTGTAGGCGCCCTTGTACTCACCTGCTGCTACCACAATGATCTACAAGATCCGAGTTTAGATCCCGGGGCAGCCACCACTACACCAAGCAGCATCACCGCATCTTACATGGTGCTGCACTCTCTTTTCTCCAGTGAAGAGGACTTGCAGAAACTTACAAGGCAATTCAGCCCGCACTGCAAGAGGCTGATCTCAAATTGCTACTTACCAAGGCGTTTCCAGGCTGGGTATGAGCCTGGAAATTGAAGCGTCTGTGTCCGACGCATCAGTTTCTGGAGTGCAGCCACAAATCTACCGCAGAGATTATTGAGAGCACCAATGACTCGATCTTGACTGCTATTTTGTCGGAAATCATCAGGAAAGAAGGATACCAGCGCCCAACATTCAAGCTGTGAACGTGGGAGATGGGCATACACAAATCTTAAGGTCCACGTGAACGTGAGAGATGTGCACACACAAGTCTTAAGGTCCCTGTGAACGTGGGAGATGGGCATACACAAGTCTTAAGGTCACTGGGAACGTGGGAGATGGGCATACACAAGTCGTAAGGTCACTGTGAACGTGGGAGATGGGCATACACAACAGACGTTATCATAGAGGTTTCTCAGGAGGTGGTAGAGAAATGTATACAGAGTTGTAGATAGCACCACACAATATATATATTTTCCGGGACATTTTCAGATAAGATAATCTGACGTGGATGGAATGAAAGGTTCACGTCAGGGGTTCTAAACGGCAGGTACATATACGTCTCTTAGTGAGTATTGGTGACAAGCAAAGAGCGATAGGACTATGATTTTTTTTAAGTCAGTAACTGTTCATCGATTCCATATTTTAATTCACAAAAAGAACAGCAAAAATCTCAATAGATGTTCGTGTTGTTGGGATTCGCAGTTTTTCTATGACTATGTATATGATGAAATGCTTTCCAGCTGTTCTGTTCCAAGCTACCCATATGTAAAGTTTTAGACATGTCCTGAGGTCACAGTGGTACCTAACATGACTGGTGATGGTGGTGGTGATCTCGACAGTGTGGTGAAGGTGGGTATGGGGACATATTGTGCAATCCATTGGGTGTCTATACTTACAGAAGTGTTAAGAATTCCTAATCTACGCAATGATAGAATGCAAATGTTTTACAAATTTCTCACGTCAAGCCACGTTTGCCTCCACTTATAGAATAGATTATACAGTAATGAGCTTTCCTGATGTTAATTTGCTGTGATAAACATCTAAAGTTGCAAGGAATACAAAATGGATACTAAACAATTACAAAACAATAAATAAAAACGAATAGCAGCTGCTTTACTTCTAAGACAGCAGTCATCTTGCTAAGTTTCTCAAGGTTACCAATGAGATCTGTAAACAGACAGTCAGCACTGTTTCTGAAGACCATTGGCGTTCCTACACATTTCTGAAACTGAATATTATGTGGCAAAGTACAAATGATCATAATATTCTCGAGTAAACGAAGAATGACTCGAAATGAAGCGTGATCAACTAGGGGGATTGATCTGAAAAAGTGAAAAGCCTGTTGTACTTTACTATTAAAAGTAGACTTCTGACCAAAGATGATTAAACCAAAAAATTGAATTTTATAGCCTAGTGTTAAGCAGAGCTTCACTAGATGACACATAGATGTGTACAAAAGGTAAATATAAATGTGTAGATTTGAAGGTGGCAAAAAAGTATAAAATTAAGGAATGTGAGGCAATCAGGATGATAACCTCTTCCTTGGTGATGATGGAATAGAAGTGTATGATGGTGGAAGAGAAGTGTGTGATAATGGAAGAGAAGTGTGATGGTGAGAGAGAAGTGTGATGGTGGGAGAGAAGTGTGATGGTGAGAGAGAAGTGTGATGGTGAGAGAGAAGTGTGATGGTGAGAGAGAAGTGTGATGGTGGGAGAGAAGTGTGACGGTGGAAAAAAAGTATGAAAGTGGAAGAGAAGTGCGTGATAGTGGAAGAGAAGTGTGATGGTGAGGAGGAAGAGACCAGTATGCCAGGAGTAGCACAAGTCACACTAGGACAAACCACTAGGGCGACAACACTTCCATAAACAACACTGTGAAGACATCTTCAGCATGAAGTCTCAATAGCTTCAGAGGGAAAGATCTGCACTTATTTTTGACTCGTTTTGCCTGCTGTGTGTGGCTGCGAAAGGCAGGAACAACCTGGGGGAAAAGTAACAATAATAAAAAAACAGCCTATCCTAATTTAATACATCCTAACCTAACGATACATATATTTGGGTTTGATCATTTGGAAACCAGCTTTGTCGAAGTCTTGTGTATGAGATGACCATTGTGTGATGAAAGGCATGCAGGAACAGTCAAAATGTTGCCATGTCAGATAGGTGTGTGTGTGTGTGTGTGTGTGTGTGTGTGTGTGTGTGTGTGTGTGTGTGTGTGTGTGTGTGTGTGTGTGTGTGTGTGTGTGTGTGTGTGTAGCACAGTGGTCTGCGTCCTCGGCACGCAACACCCAGGGTTGCGGACTGAATTTCTGCTGCAGGACAGAGACACTGACTTGATGCCTCTACTCACCTAACAGTAAATAGGTACCTGATAGTTTGACAACTGTTATACGTTTCATCAGGGGAATAGGTAGCGGTAGTTGGTCTAGGGATGACCCTCAATAAGCTTCCTGTCCCCCTACAAGCCATAACTTACTCTGCGTCACCAAGTAGATTACTGGCGGAAGACACTTAGAAACGCTTATAGAAAGAAACTTATTTTGGTATATTAAAAACGCCCTGCCCGAAACGCTTCCCGTAATAATGGCTTTAGGCATTGTATGTACTAGCTCTATCTATAAATCCATCAACTTTTGTATTTCATCTTGTATGTATGTACTTTACCTGAATAAATATTTGTATTTGTTGTTTTGTTTTGTATTACCAGTTACTGTGCTAGGAATTTGGTATATTTGAGTGTATTTAATGTATATATAAATACACATTTATGTAAGCAATACAGGGCACACTTATCTAATTCAAGGAATGAAAGGAACTCATTCGAGAACGGGAAATGTCTAACCGGGTGACAGCTAATCAATAACCATTGAGTGAGAATAAGGCAGAACATTCACTGTGCACGTTAATGAGGTAATGATAGACAACATGCTACAGTACTTCCACCTCAACATTTATTTATTGTATCGGAAAATGCTGCAAGAACAAACTTGATATACACAACTGAAACCTCATATGAGAGCAGTACTAGTTCTAGACTGGGAATAATTAGCATGGGAGACGATGTGAGAGATAAACCAATGTGGCTGTAAAAAAAAGGGGGGTTATCGAGAGCAGGTAGTTGTACGGTGACTGTAAAGATGCAGGGAGCAGACGGTGAGGACGGAATGAAGAGGCACATTTGTGAGGGGGCGAAGGAGGAGGATGAGGGGCAAGGTGGACGATGGGGAGGGAAGGGGGGGAGCGAGAGAGGGAAGGCAAGGGGTGAGGGTGAAGGGGGTGAAAGGTGAGTAAATACAGGAGCAAGATACAGCATTGATAACCCACCACAAATGCCCACACATGTGACTTAGTAAGGCAACTTACAGGAGAGTTACGCCAGATTTGCAGACAAATTCTGTATACTGGAAATGGAAATCATGGCTGTATTCTAGTCACTGAGGATTCTAACAATGACTTCAGGTAATAACAAAAGTTACAAACACAGCCTAAAGGTTTTAAGAACAAAAAAAATCACCTCAGAGAGAAAAAAAGGACACACCGATAAGGAAGTTGATGGATGTTTAAGATTCTAGCTATTCTAAGGTCGTATTAAATCGTCACTCCATTGGATGTGATGGCTTTGGTAATGAGGATGATGGGGTGGCTTTAGGACAAAAAAAAAATCCGTCAAAAAAGGACTTGTGAAGACTGAAGGGATGATCAGAGAGGACCACAATTGAGAGTACATTGGTCAGGTCAGAAATGGTGGTTATGACTAATTGGTCAGAGGTGTCCGGGGACGGCTTGGTGTATGCTCGAGATGTTCAGCAGGGCGAGGCGAGGGTGGAGGTGATGGCGGAGGGCCTGGAGGTGTCGCGGGTGAGGTAAGGAGCCTGCTGGTGTGGGAGCAAGGTGTCGGGGTCCTTGGCGATGGTGTACTCGTGGGTGAAGGCAGCCAGCAGACCTCCCAAGGCAGGTCCCACCCAAAACACCTGAAAAAAATGTTACGTTCAATCCGGTGATTTTTTCATATATTGATTTTATAATTTGTTTATATATCTATACACTGTGTGTGTGTGTGTGTGTGTGTGTGTGTGTGTGTGTGTGTGTGTGTGTAATTACTTAAATGTAGTTACAGGATGAGAGCTACTCTCGTGGTGTCTCTTCTTCCCAGTACTCTTTGAGGCGGGAAGACGGGAACTGGGAACTACTGACGGTTTTGGCCTCCTCCACCTTCTCACTTAACTTGTTCCAACCGTCTACCACTCTGTTTGCAAAAGGAAACTTTCTAATATTTTTTTTCGGCACCTTTGTTTCCTTAGCTGGAATCTCTGTGTTCTCTTGTTCGTGAAGTTGCTGGTTTCAGGAATTCTTCTTTGTCAAATTGGTCGATTCCTGTTAATATTTTGTAAGTGGTGATCATATCACCTCTTTTCCCTTCTATCTTCTAGCTGTGTGTGTATGTGTGTGTGTGTTTGAGTTTGTGTCCTGAATGCTTGTCTATTTTAATTTCCATTCATGTAGTTGCCACCAATACATACTTCGACCATTTCTTAAAGGACACAAATGTAAATAGATTGTATACATTAATAAACAAGACGGAGTGAGGCTCCCTCCATTGTCTCCAAGACGGAGTGAGGCTCCCTCCATTGTCTCCAAGACGGAGTGAGGCTCCCTCCATTGTCTCCAAGACGGAGTGAGGCTCCCTCCATTGTCTCCAAGACGGAGTGAGGCTCCCTCCATTGTCTCCAAGACGGAGTGAGGCTCCCTCCATTGTCTCCAAGACGGAGTGAGGCTCCCTCCATTGTCTCCAAGACGGAGTGAGGCTCCCTCCATTGTCTCCAAGACGGAGTGAAGTTTCAGTCCTGCCTGAAACTATGTGTTATTGACTTTGTAAGAATCTTTGTAAGTTATAATTCACCAATAGAGTAAATGATGGAGGCGGTGTCAACAAATAGTACAGGGTTAAGAAAATAACATTCTGGTAGCTCACTGATGTATACAAGGATATCCAAAACGGTCACATATTTAAAGATCAAGAAACCCTTCTGTAATCGTCATGTATTGTTACAGTGGCCCTTGGACTCATGAATAGACTGATTAGCCTCGGATACATTCATTTGTTCCGTCTCATGTGATAACAATAACAGAGAGACTCGTTATACGTACCCAGTGGCAGGTCCAGGCGCCAGTGACAACAGCAAGGGCTAGCGAGCGAGCTGGGTTGAGTCCCACTCCCGTGAACTCTGCCTGTGGGATCAGTGCTCTTAGTCACACTATGAGAGAGACATACACACAGAGATACAGGAATACAATATAGAGACATACACATACAGGAATACAGAAAGGAAGACAAAAGATAAAATAGAAAAAAAAAATTATATATATATATATATACACATACTAAAATACATTGTTGATAGGCTGAAGCAAATCAGTAACAAAATAAGACCCGAGGTGTTTATCATCATCAATAAGTGATGCAATACGTGGACACGATGAGGCTTTACTAAGATATTGCATGTAAACAATGAGAAACAATACGTGTGCTGGAGCTGCACGGCTCAGTACCAACAACACCTGTATTTGTTTACTCTCAGGTATTTCAGGTGTCAGGTCAATACCCTGAAACGTCCTCCAGACAATGAGGAAGGGAATTATCAGAGGTAAGCGCCAAGCCATTACGACTATATAGCACTGGGAAAGGGTCAGAATAAAGATTTGGGATGGGACGGTGGGAGAGGGAAGGAACGGTGCCCAACCACTTGGACGGTCGGGGGATTGAACACCGACCTGCATAAACGCCAGACCGTCTCTCTTTCTACCGACCAGCCCAAGTGGTTGGACTCTCCAGATAATGAACGGAAACAAATCAGCCACAAATAAAAAAAGCAAAAGCCAGGTGACTGACACTAAAGAGGGCGGCTGAGACGTGGGCGGCGGCGAGGGGGACGGCGGCGCTGGGGACGAAGAGCGGCATGGTGTGGTGGGCGTGGGCGTCCTTGGTGTAGCGGGAGGGGGCGTGGGCGGCCTCGTATGCAGGGAGAGAGATGAGAGTCACCACCAGCGTCGCCAGGAACTCCGCGCCCCAACCCTGCAGGGAAGACATCAACTAAAAACACGAAATGGTTTGAACAGAACATGGCAAGTTGCTCAACAGAAAATGGCGAATTGACTAACCTGGATAAAAACAAAAATAAATTATCACCATATTTAGGCACATATATATATATATATATATATATATATATATATATATATATATATATATATATATATATATATATATATATATATATATATATATATATATATATATGGCTGCCCTAAACTGTATGTTAAGATGAACAAGAAACAAACGGAAATATGGGAATTATGAGTCAAAAATAAATAGTACACAAATAACAAAGTTCATATTTTATATTATTGTTTAATGTGTCAACGAAAGATGAAAGTTGCATTCGCATTTGTTTTAAACGTTTTCACAAACAAAAATAATCAAAACGGGGAAAAACAAATTTTTGAAACAGAATGATGATAACAAATATAAATTGGAGACAAGTTGCAAAATGTCTCTACAACACAGTATAAGTGAAGAATGTTAACTCAACATTTCATCACAAACATTTTCTCATTTATCACTCCTCTTGCTCACTCATTTTGCAAATATTTAAATTATAAAAGATGTGTATATATCATGGTAAAAAAATGTATATAAAAAAAAGAATATCTGTTTTTCACTTGTGAGTGTCCAAAAGTTAGAAGTCAGACGCTAGAGGCTAGCCTCATTAAACCTTGTAGATATACTGGTAATTGTATGCAGTGTCATGGGTGTGTCGTCCTCATGCCCTCCTTGAAGGGAGGTCGACCCCTATAAACCCCTTTCACGAAGTCTATGGTATGAAATGTTTTACACAGAACTCATAAAGAGTTTCTAGCATTTGTTTACAATTTAGTGTATGCAGATACTGTCATGCAAAACGTGTGATCAAATGAATGATTTGCATCCTGAGATTAACCTTTTGGTCACAGCGATGGCGTTAGTGCGTAGTGAGAATGATTACAGGGATAAGAGGGCAGAGTGAGGGTGGGCGTGTGTGCGTGAGTGAGTGCGTGCGTGCGTGGGTGCGTGCACACGCATGTGTAGTGTGTAGTCAGGGATTGTGTGTGGGAGGGGGGAAGGGATGGATAAGGTGTGTGGGTGGGGATGGGGACGGGGGAGCGACATCTGGGATTGTGTTTATAAGCTCGGGTCGACCCGGGCACCGCAGGATAACCCCATCTAGCAAGGGAAACAATAAAATACAATAACAAATAAAATTAAGTTTAACTTTACAATGCAAACAACAGTTTCAGGCGATCATAGCCAGTATTTATGAGGAGCAATTAGGCAACACGAATGCAATTATCTTCTCAGGCGCCGATAATTAAGCTGTGAAGTGTTGCCAATTTGTTCTTGTCAAGGCCCCCCTTATGAATTACGTTTTCTACTACGACAAGTTCAATTAAGGAATTTCAAAGAAAACCTCACTTTAAGGGCCAACTTAATCAAATGTCAACATCATGATTTTTTTTTTGTTTGTTTTGGGTGTATGACTGTACTGAAAGGTTTCAAATATCGCAGTTGCTGTATCGTGTTGGGTGACACACACAATGTCACAATCAATGGGGAGATATAACCGGAAAACATCATTAAGAACTTTAATTGGACGGCTTGTGGTTGGCCTGGAGACTGACTTACCTGGACGGCGGTCAGGTGAGGAGCGAGCTGGGGCGGGCGGGGAGGGCGCGGCAGGAGACCCAAGAGGACGGGGGCGGCCAGGAGAGCGCCACACACCTGCGCCAGCACGTGTAAACACGCCCTCAGCAGCGACACCTGTATAGAGGGGGGGGGGGGGGGAAGGTCCTGAGACACTCGCACCTTCGCACTCATTGGACACGATTAATGGTCACTCTCTGGACAAGTGCATCATAACCTGGGGTGCCAGAGGACCTCTGTGTGTGTGGGAGGGGGTGCCAGAGGCCCTCTGTTGGGGAGGGTGCCAGAGGCCCTCTGTTAGGGGGGGTGCCAGAGGTGCCAGAGGCCCTGTTGGTGGGGGGCGGTGCTAGAGACCCTCTGTTGGGGGGAGGTGCCAGAGGCCCTCTGTTGGGGGGGGGTGCTAGAGACTCTCTGTTGGGGGAATGCCAGAGGCCCTCTGTTGGGGGGGAGGTGCCAGAGGCCCTCTGTTGGGGGGGGGCGGTGCTAGAGACCCTCTGTTGGGGGGAGGTGCCAGAGGCCCTCTGTTGGGGGGGGGTGCTAGAGACCCTCTGTTGGGGGGGGGGGGCCAGGGGGTGCCAGAGGTTCTCTACGTAGGGGTGTGTAACATGACAGATCTTCCAACAAGTAGCACAGAGGGTCAATAATTGTCAACACAAAATAAGAAACAGACAGATGAGAACAGCTTCTGTACTCCGTTTTATTATAAAAAAAGTGTATATATATCATTATATATATGTGCAAGAACACGTGGCAACATAATGCAAAAGTCACGAGAAAACAATGCATGAATATTATATCATATATAAATGCCATATATTATAGTGTTCAGTGTTCTAGTTGCAGTTTAAGGTCTGTCAATTGCCAGGGTTAGTCAAGCCACAAGCCTGTCCACTGTCTAACCGTCCATATACACTTCAATCTGTAAAATGAGTTGAGAATTACAGTAAGCTCCTTAAGTGTATATAAACAAAGCAATGCACCTTGCGGTGTATTAATACACTATGCGCGTGTATTTTGAACTTCTCGAAAAAGGTTAAAAAGGGACATATGAAGTATAGACCCCCAGCAGCACCCCAGAGATCTGGAGTGACGCAGGAGGCGCATCTCATGATGAACATTCTAATACAACCGTTTGATTGAACATCGACAGTAGGGATGTTCAACATGATAGCTGCACGAGATGTGGGGGGTGGGAGGGGGAAGGAGGATGTAGCTCTCAAAACCTTGAGTAGGACCTCGATCTTCGTTCTCATCTGCTGCCTTGGGGGGATATTTCCTATGGCTTCCCACTGTCGGGGACAGCAGGCCTGCTAGGCTTGTGTATACCCTCCGGAACAAAGGGGACAGGGATGAGCCTTTGGCTAGCTGCCTGCTTCCAGGACTTGTGTGTCTTGGACTTACCCGCTGTGTGTCTCTCTCTTGGACTTGCCTTCTGTGTGTGTGTGTGCGCCTCTGGGACTTACCCTCCTACATGCCTCTGGGACTTACCCTCCTTGTAACCAACAGGGCGATAGTTGTGGGCGGGGACATGTGAGCGCCACGAACCGCCCAGCTGAGGGCGGCCATCACCATCCCGTGGCCCACCGCCCACCGGACGGCCGACCCCCACCCCGTGTCGGCCACTCCGTCCATCATGCCGCCCACTGTGAGAGAAATACAGGTCAATATACATCACTTATCAATATCTTATGAAATCGAATGTCTGTCTGTCAGGCCAAAGAATGAGGCCGGACGCTTGGAGAGGGGGATAAAATGGAAATATTAAAAGATAAAATGGAAATATTAAAAAATAAAATGGAAATGTTAAAAAATAAAATGGAAATGTTAAAAGATAATTTTTTTTTATGTTTTAAAATTATGGAAATTTTAAAACATAAAATCAAAATTTAGAAGGTAAATTCCAAAGTGTTTCGTACAGATTCACTCAGTAGAATGTGTCGTACGCTGTAATTAGGCCTTTGCAAGGACATACTGCAAGTGACATTAGGCATAAGTTGGGTCTGGGTGGGGCATGATGGAGCAATTAGGACTGAAATACGTTTCAGTATTGCAGTTTACAATTACAGTTGGCAAAGGATACTTTCCCAATTAATGTGCAAGTAAACTCGTTACCCATTCATCACTGTTAACCCCCTTCCTCAACTCCACCTGCTTCCGTGGAGCAGAAGTTAAGTGGAGTCTGCAGGATGGTGTCTGTGTAAAGGGAGCAGACACAGTACCTGGCTAGACACAAGGGGGCAGACACAGTACCAGGCTAGACACAAGGGGGTGCAGACACAGTACCAGGCTAGACACAAGGGGGCAGACACAGTACCTGGCTAGACACAAGGGGGGGCAGTCACAGTACCTGGCTAGACACAAGGGGGCAAACACAGTACTTGGCTAGACACAAGGGGGCAGACACAGTACCTGGCTAGACACAATGGGGCAGACACAGTACCAGACAAAACACAAGGGGGCAGACACAGTACCAGACAGAACACAAGGGGGCAGACACAGTACCAGACAGAACACAAGGGGGCAGACACAGTACCAGACAGAACACAAGGGGGCAGACACAGTACCAGACAGAACACAAGGGGGCAGACACAGTACCAGACAGAACACAAGGGGGCAGACACAGTACCAGACAGAACACAAGGGGGCAGACACAGTACCAGACAGAACACAAGGGGGCAGACACAGTACCAGACAGAACACAAGAGGGGGCAGACACAGTACCAGACAGAACACAAGGGGGCAGACACAGTACCAGACAGAACACAAGGGGGGGTACAGACACAGTACCAGACAGAACACAAGGGGGGACACAGTACAGACAGAACACAAGTACCAGACAGAACACAAGGGGACAGACACAGTACCAGACAGAACACAAGGGGGCAGACACAGTACCAGACAGAACACAAGGGGGCAGACACAGTACCAGACAGAACACAAGGGGGGCAGACACAGTACCAGACAGAACACAAGGGGGGCAGACAGACACAGTACCAGACAGAACACAAGAGGACAGACACAGTACCAGACAGAACACAAACACAAGGGGGGGGCAGACACAGTACCAGACAGAACACAAGGGGGGCAGACACAGTACCATACAGAACACAAGGGGGGGGCTGACACAGTACCACACAATGGGGGCAGACACAGTACCAGACAGAACACAAGGGGGGGGGCAGACACAGTACCAGACAGAACACAAGGGGGGGGGGCAGACACAGTACCAGACAGAACACAAGGGGGGGGGTACCAGACAGACACAGTACCAGACAGAACACAAGGGGACAGACACAGTACCATACAGAACACAAGGGGGGGGGGGCAGACACAGTACCATACAGAACACAAGGGGGGGGGGCAGACACCGTACCATACAGAACACAAGGGAGGGCAGACACAGTACCTGGCTGGGCACAAGGGGCCAGTATGGAGGGCTGTGAGGGCTGGAGGGCAGCGCTGGTAGAGACGACCGTCATCAGGAAGGTGGCCACGACCTCTCCTCGCACACACCGCCACACCGCCCCACTCGTCACCTGTCACAGACAACGACCTGCTCTCAGGGCCAGGTGTGGCACTGCTATATACACCTGCTCTCAGGGTGCCAGGTGTGGCACTGCTACATACACCTGCTCTCAGGGCCAGGTGTGGCTCAGAAAATCATGTGTGGCACTGCTATACACAGCTGCTCAGAGAACCAGGTGTGGCACTGCTATACACAGCTGAACCGAGCCAGGTGTGGCACTGCTATATATATATATATATATATATATATATATATATATATATATATATATATATATATATATATATATATATATATATATACATACTACACACCTGCTCAGAGGGTTTACACGTGTGTAAGAGAGTGAAAATGAGTTTGAAAGGTATATAGTTGACTTACATTGGTATACTAAGCATAATAGAGAAAAAAATTATTATTATCTATATCCTATCATTATGAGGCATCATTAACGCTGCCAAGTTAACTACACTAACCCCTCAAACAAACCTATAAAATAGAATGAGTTTTATTCACCAATTTCCCTCACCCACGAAAAATTTGGAGAAAAAGTGAAAATCCCTTATCACCCCCCAAGCCACCATAATTAACTGAGAAAGCTATAGGAATTATCCTAACTTATTGACCAGAGCTACATGAAAAATATGAGCTAATTAATCCATTAACAAGGCTGGAAACTTATCAAAAGAACTCCCTGACACTAGTACCTCACCAGGGTCAAGTTTTCATCGTCCTATGAACGGACGTCCAATATTGGAACCTAGATATCGATCTAATTTGTACACGCTAGGGTTAATCTTAAGATAATTAGGACAGTGGTTAATATCACATCTGATGTGATCAAATTTCGGTCACCCCATATATCCCCCCTTTTGCACTGAGCAATGCACTTCGTCCCCCCCCCCCACCTCTCAAGTCGATAGAATGATCACATAAGCTAGAATGTAAATACAATGCACTAGATTGCTTGGCCATTCGAATTGAGTAAGAGTGTTGACAGTAGAGCAAGGTGTAAGGGCAAGGGTAAGTTAGAAAATTCATAGGCAACTCAAATCGAAGAGATTTGAGTTTGGAAAAGTATAAAAAAATTAAATACAATTAACATGCGCAATTTGAAAAGGAAAATTAAACAAAGAAGTATATCTAGACGTCACAGATAAAAATGAGCAGTCAGGAACTGACATTAGACAGGCAATTAGGAAAGAACTGGTTATTAGCAGTAAATCAGTACCGAACACTGTAGATGGTAGTAAGTCTATAATAATTTTTAGGATGTCTGGAAAGAGAGAGAGACCATCTTGGGTGGATGGTGCAGCAGAAGCTTTAGAAATCACTGAAGAAAAAGTAGGCCGAGTCGAAAATTCTCAGAAAAAGTCTAAAAAAAGGTCGAAAATACTAGAGATAAATGATATAGCACAGCTTAAGATACCAGATATTGTCGCACAAGCAGAGACGAAACTGTAAGATACAATTTCAAACAAGGTGGTATCTCCCGAGGCGCTGCGCTATCTGCAGATGCATAAAAAATGTGAAAAAAAAGGCGGAGGAGCTGCATTTCTGGTGAAGGACCGACTGAAGGCAAATTAATGCATTCTTGACAACTCTCAAGAAATAGACAGAAAGATGCTGGAGATCTGCAGTTAGAATGATAAACTGATAAGTCATTACTGCCTCAAGTCCACCAGCAAACAACACGTGGACTAGGGATGAACTATAGGACAAAAGCCTTGTAATCAGTTAGACCAGATGAAGATAAATCATGTTTGTTGATACTTGGAGACTTCAATGCTAACTCTGTAGACTGGGAAGCCTAGGAGGCGAGGACAGATGGCATCTGGACCGGCTGATCCATAAACTTCCTCCTCGAGTCTTCCATGTATTACCATCTTCTTCCAAGTATCATCATCATCTTCTTCCATGTATCACCATCTTAACACACCCCACAAGAATGAGGGGAATGGGAGGCTCCATCATTGCTGGATCAGGTGGTATTTAGCAGGTAAGAAGATATATTTGATATTTAATACGTTCTCTCAATGAACATGAGCGACCACGACCGTTTAGAAATGAAATATTCAATACATTATAATCTAGAAGAGATTGGGGATAGAAAAAGAGAGAGAGAGAGAGAGAGAGAGAGAGAGAGAGAGAGAGAGAGAGAGAGAGAGAGAGAGAGAGAGAGAGAGAGAGAGAGAGAGAGAGAGAGAGAGAGAAATAGTGGAAAAACTTGCATTTCAAAAGAAGACACAGCGGGCAACCTCGCTAGTTCTTAAATAATGTTGATCGGGAAGATATTTGCTATCAGACAAATAAATGAGACGAGATGTATGCCATTTTTTTTTAGATTTATGATAAAAGTTAAAATACAATTAAAACACAAAGGTAGAGATGCAGAACTAGAAAACAAGGACTCGTTGAACATCAGTTGCGAGAGGGCCAGAGAATAGAACAACAACAACGGGAATAGAACAACAACAACAACAATTCAATCAGCAAAGGAAGGGGTGTTAACCCCACTCAAATGTACCAAGAAAACAAAGAAACAAATATACAGCAGTGAGTGAGAAGAGAGGAAGGGAACTATCAGGGAAAAGAGCCAAGCCATTAATACACACACACACACACCCACACACACACACAAACACCCACACACACACACACACCCACACACAACACCCACACACACACACATACACACACCCACAACACACACACACACCCACACACACACAAACACACACAAACACCCACACACACACACCCACACACAAACACCCACACCCACACACACACACACACCCACACAAACACCCACACACACACATACACACACCCACAACACACTCAAACTTCCTTACCTCCTTACGAGGCGAGGGATGCTGTGGCATAGAATCCAGATACCTCCTGATGGCCGCTACAGGGGCGTCCGCTGTCGGGTGTGTGGGCGTGGGGGCGGGCACTGCCAGGGAGAGCCCATCACTGGCCACAGACGAGGTGTGGGCGGCCTCCTCCTCCGCCTCCCCGCCCACGGACTCCAGCATCACCAACCAGCGTCTCACGAGCACGACAAGAGATGAAGAACAGGTCGAGCCTCGGAGCGCTCGTTCCTAAGGAAGCCAACAGTGCGTATAGAGTACTCGCCGTATATATATATATATTCGTGCGTAAGAGAAAGAGAGAGAGAGAGAGAGAGAGAGAGAATGAGAATTAGAGAGCGAGAGAATGACTATCAATAACCTACCACCTACCATTCTCATTTGACCGTCCCGCCCCCCCACGTTCTCCCTCCTACGTCTCTCCCACGTTCTCTCCCTTCTTCCTCCCGTTCTCTATCTCCCATCCACCTGACTGGGGCCTGGTTGCTAGGGCAACAACCGAGGGGGATGGCAGGGGAAAGAGAGAGGGGAAAAAAAGAGAGCTTCTGCTATATATAGCTGCAGCAGGAGGACGACCTAAGGGGAAATACGACAGCAGAATCCCAGGTACGAATATCCCGCCATGTGGCCCTGGTGTGTGTGTGTGTGTGTGTGTGTGTGTGTGTGTGTGTGTGTGTGTGTGTGTGTGTGTGTGTGTGTGTGTGTGTGTACCCACTACACCAGGAGTGCGTGCACGACTGCAGGAAGGGTCTTCGTGTACACAGGGGGGGGGGGAGGGAAGGGTCTTCGTGTACACAGGGGGGGGGGAGGGAAGGTGTGTACACAGGGGGGGGATGGTGGCGTACATAATGGCCTCATGGGGCAGTACACAGGGCTCTGTGTGCGCACATGGGTCATGGGGGTTCACACACACAGGAATCTGTGTACACCCAGGGATTGTTGTGCACACAGGGGTGAGGGGGGGGGATGCATACAAGGGTCGTGGGATGCACACATACACTGGGATTGTTGTATACACAGTCGTACATACACAGTGTATGTATACACAGAGAGAGAGAGAAAGAGAGAGAGAGAGAGAGAGAGAGAGAGAGAGAGAGAGAGAGAGAGAGAGAGAGAGAGAGAGAGAGAGAGAGAGAGAGAGAGAGAGAGAGAGAGAGAGAGAGTAATTAAAGATTTTGTTTTAGCCTCAATGTTCTCAAGGATCTTCGCCTGACCAAGCTTCAAGGAGAACTATAAGTTGGCAATTACAACACAAGGCGCTCAGCCATCAACAGCTCAGAGCTCCTGACCCCTGAAGGTTTCGAACCCGGCCAGCCAGGGCCTCCATGCCCCCCTTGGCGTGTCCACTACTATAACCACTCAAGAAATCAGAGTCTTCCTGAGTCATAAGGGAAGGTGACTCTCAGGAGCAAGGGCTATGCCACTGCGACTATATATATCACTGGGAAGGGGTCAGGATAAGGATTTGGGATGGGACGGGGGGAAGGAATGGTGCCCAACCATTTGGACGGCCGGGGATTGAACGCCGACCTGCATGAAGCGAGACCGTCGCTCTACCGTCCACCCCAAGTAGTTGTAATTTGTCCATTGAACTAAAGCAAAAGTGGTTAAGGTAGGGGAAGATGGTTAAGGCATTGGGGGAGGGGTTAAGGGAGATGAGAACGTGGTTAAGGGAGTGGGGAAGGTGGTTAAGGCATTGGGGGAGGGTTAAGGGAGATGAGGACGTGGTTAAGGGAGTGGGGAAGGTGGTTAAGGCATTGGGGGAGGGGTTAAGGGAGATGAGGACGTGGTTACGGGAGTGGGGAAGGTGGTTAAGGCATTGGGGGAGGGGTTAAGGGAGATGAGGACGTGGTTAAGGGAGTGGGGAAGGTGGTTAACGTAAGGGAATTACTTTAGATGGAGGAAGGTCGTTAAGGTAGGTGATTAAGGTAGAGGAATATGGTTAAAGAAAAGAGGGTCCCTCTTAAGAGAGGAAGGGAGGGGGGGGGAATCATTAAGGCAGGGGGGGGGGCGGTGGTTAAGGGAAAGGGGAGAAGGGCAAGGAGAGGTGGACACGGGTGTGTGGGGTGTTAAGGGAGGAGGTGGTTGATATGGTTGAGTATCCTCTTCAGTGTCACTGGCTGATAAGACACGACCTCTCACCCGGCCCGTGTCCTCATCCGTGTCCTGCCACCCGGCCCGTGTCTTCACCCGTGTCCTGCCGACTTAATATATCTCATATTACAAAATTCCTACAACTTCAGCAGGTCCATTAATCTGGAAGAGATCTGGACGAGGGCAGAAAGAGAGACAGGAAAGGAGCTGAACGAGTTATGGAAAAAAACTTGAAAAGAGCTGCAATAAGGCTATAAGAAGTGTGGAATAGAAAAGGGCTAGAAGAGGCCTAAAAGAGGTATGATCTATGGGGCTCCTCTAGTGGGCTGGCGGAGGCTTGAAAGAGGCCTGTAAGAGGCCCTGTATGAAGGCTCGAAGCGTGTGGGAAGTCTGTAGACGCAATGTTCCTCTCTTCTGTCATGTTAAGGACTCTTAAATCATCCCATAGATTGGTCTCATTCTAAGATAATAATCCCCTACGGCCCGTCACAGACGCCGTCTTGTGGAATGGGCTCTTGATCCACAACATCCCCCCCCCCTCCCCAACAAGATCCTTATAGTCCTGGGGCCAGATTCACGAAAGCACTTACGCAAACACTTACGAACCTGTACTTCTTTTCTCAATCTTTGGCGGCTTTCTTTACAATTATTAAACAGTTAATGAGCTCCGAGGCACCAGGAGGCTGTTTATAACAATAACAGTTGATTGGCAAGTTTTCATGCTTGTAAACTGTTTAATAAATGTAACCAAAGCCGTCAAAGACTGAGGAAAGATGTACACGTTCGTAAGTGCTTGCGTAAGTGCTTTCGTGAATCTGGCCTCTGGCTTGGTCGACTCTTGCCTTTCTCAATACATAAGGTAAATACTGTAATCTTCTTAACCAACGTGAGCTGACTTAGCGTTAGCCCGGATAGGTTCTCTTCCCCCATTCTCTCGCTATCGTTTTCTGTTCCTGTGCATCTTTTTTTCCTCTTCGCCATTAGGATGTGTCCTCAACGGCCTTTATTTTAAGGCATGTGGGGTGTTGGGTGTGCAACAGCCAAGAATATTTTTCTTCCCACTCCTCGTTTGCTCAGATTGCAACGTCGTTAAAACTGCAACTATTTGGTGGTTAAACGATCTGGCGGGTCGTATTCCTGGGGGAAAAATTTAGGATTAAGGACCTGCCCGAAACGCTATACGTGCTGGTGGCTTTACAAGAATGTAAGAACTCTTGTATATATAAATAAAAATCGTCGGCAAACGATATCATCAGTAATTACTTTTTATCGATGCAAAGCAACTTTTGTTTAGGGATATTCGTGCGCGGGCCCTAAGCCTCTGGCTGGCCCACTAAGTGTTGCTTGTTTCTGTTTTACTTGGGCGGAGTATGAGTATTTATGACTCGTATGATCGCTTCAGTAAGAGCAAAGGGATGAAAAAGCTTCGACAGTCAAAGAGACAGCTTTTGCACTCTCGAAGATGTGCAGTTGGAGAATTGCAACGATGAGTGGTGGTTCCGGCAACACAACGAACATGATGAGAAATACAAGAACTCTACGAACACGGCCGCCAGGGACGGAAGTAAACTCTACGGACATAGTCTATCATATTTCACTAACTTAGACCCAGTACCTTGATGGAAGGTAAGGGAACTTTGAGGAGAAAGCGCCAAGCCATTACGACTATATAGTACTGGGAAGGGGTCAGGATAAGGACTTGGGATGGGACGGTGGGGTAAGGAATGGTGCCCAATCACTTGGACGGTCGGGGGGGATTGAACACCGACCTGCATGAAGCAAGACCGTCGCTCTACCGTCCAGTCCAAGTAGTTGGGCTATCAAGATGGAGTGGCCAGTGTTAACACTTAGTTGTATTCACCTAGTTGAACTTCCAGGGGTTAAGCTATAACGCTTTAGGCCCGCTTCTCATCTGTCAATCAATATTTTTCCCCACACACAACCCTCCCCCCCCCCCTCCAGGAAGCAACCCGTAGCAGCTGTCTAACTCCCAGATACCTATCTACTGCTAGGAGAACAGAGGACATCAGGGTGATAGAAACTCTACCCATTTATTTCCGTCATCGCTAGAGATCGATCCCTGGTCCTTAGTATTACGAATCCCAGGCGCTCTTCACTCAGCCACCAGGCCCCCAACTGTTCTGGTTACCTAGTGGTGATTCCGAGAATGAACGTCCCCACCAACACCTGGAGACTGGTGAGCACAGTATATTGAACTGACGGAGAACACAACTGATTGTTAATATGAAGTGAAGTGGTTATTTAGCACACAAATTCAGTGAACATTTATGAACCACCGAAGAACAAGAGGTGGTTAAGTGGCAACATTTTTTTTACACAAATGTAGAAAACTCTGAGGAGAGGTTAATTTGTCCATCAGAGGAAGGAATTATCAGGGTAAAGCGCCAAGTCATTACGACTATATAGCACTTGGAAGGGGTCAGGATAAGGATTTGGGATGGGACGGCGGGGGTAAGGAATGGTGCCCAATCACTTGGACGGTCGGGGGGATTGAACGCCGACCTGCATGAAGCGAGACCGTCGCTCTACCGTCCACCCCAAGTGGTTGTAATTTGTCCATTGAACTAAAGTGCTTTCTGCATGAAGAGCGTCTACACCTCGCCAGGTGCTGTGCGAGCTTCGCCAATCCCAAGATCGAGGCCTCACCAATCCCAAGATCGAGGCCTCACCAATCCCAAGATCGAGGCCTCACCAATCCCAAGATCGAGACCTCACCAATCCCAAGATCGAGACCTCACCAATCCCAAGATCGAGGCCTCACCAATCCCAAGATCGAAGCCTCACCAATCCCAAGATCGAAGCCTCACCAATCCCAAGATGGAGACCTCGCCAATCCCAAGATCGAAGCCTCACCAATCCCAAAATCGAAGCCTCACCAATCCCAAGATCGTGGCCTCACCAATCCCAAGATCAAGACCTCACCAATCCCAAGATCGAGGCCTCACCAATCCCAAGATCAAGACCTCACCAATCACAAGATCGAGGCCTCACCAATCCCAAGATCGAGACCTCACCAATCCCAAGATCAAGGCCTCTGCCATATACTGACACTTACTATTTTACATTAAAACTACAAGATAATTACCTATATCTACATAATTAACATTAGATAAGAT